AAACTTTTTAGATCCATTTTTTGTTTACTTTTTTATTATTGAAAATGTCGCCTATTTGTGCATAATTTTGCATATTTTTTCTTTTTTCGTTTGTAAAACTATATATTCAAATTATTTAAGCAAATTTGAACTACACCATTTATATATGTACTTATATCTTTGTGTGTGAATAAAAGGGCATTGCCTGTGGACAAAAAAAATTTTAAAAAAATTGTTGAAAAAAAATATTTAAAATTTTTTTTTAGCCTATAACACCCCCGGCCACCCATGAGTGTCCACAAAAAATTTCAGCCCAATCAGTCCAGCCGTTTGGCCTGCTATACGCAACATATATATAAACGAATGTCTTGTTTCATTATATTGATAAATATAATAATAATAATAATAATAGTAATAATGATTCAAATGATCAAAAAAGTGATAATAATGATCTCTAAGTTGCAAAACATTTAGTTTGTATTTATCATTATGTTGTTTAGTTCAAGTACAAATTAATAAACTATAACAAAATTCCATTGTTTTCAGGTTATCTCTGTATCTTATTTTTAATTTAACTTTTTTGTCCACAATTGGTGATCCATTATCTGTTGTTTATTTTTAAATATCTAAATGTCTAATACATGTAAAATTGATTTATTACAGGGAGATATATTGATCTCTTCAAATAATCCTATCAGTGACAATAAAGTGATAATACTTGGAGGTGTGGATTTCTCGTAAAAAAATAATATAAGAGGAAGTTAACCATCATTGTAGATAGAAATTTGATAAATAGCAAACAAAGTAAAGTGTATTAAATTAACTAATTAAAAAATAATAAATACAATATTTAAAGTACATTCGAAAAATTTGAAAATTCACTATTAATCTTATTTAAATGTGTATTTGAGGAGAGTAGACCTCTAGCGGTGAAAGTCTAAACTTTAAATTAAATTTATGAAAATGAAAATGTTGAGTAAAGCACAGTGCAATCACGCACACATTTAATCTATGTATGTATGTATGTATGTATGTATGTATGTATGTATTGTATAAAATATAATCGTAAAGTAAGAGTATAGAATGCTGGAGACTTTAAGTAGGATAAATGGATTTAAGAACCTCAAAAGAAGATATTTTGCTTTTAGGGTAGAATATCAAACAGAGGCATTATGCGTATAATATACATACATATTACATACAAATACAAACATACAAACATACACTAGAACAAACAAATACAGTGGAACTTTGGAATTTTAAAAAACTCAAACTATGATTTCACCCCCCTTGAATCTATCACAGAGAAAAAGCTCAATCGGGAGATTCAAAGCGGGGTTAAAGTGGTCTTTGATAGCTTTCTAGGAATGAAAAGTTAAAGCAAAATAAGCAGGTTCCAGACGTTTTACAAGTTTTTCAGAAGCTACCATATTATGGAAAAATCAAGTCACTTTTGGTACATTTTTCGTGGTAGTCTTTTAATAATAAAAATAGATTGTCAAAATCATCCCTCCAAAATGAATAATCTATGAGGGTTTTAAAGATTGAATTTCTGCTGGTATATCTAAGACGGCATTCATATTATTACTTAATCTTTTAAATTGTAGTATAAATTCATTCAACCTAAAAATTATAAAGTATAATTTAGACAATGTGTAAATGTAAACCATGTACAATTGAACTATATATATATTTCATAATTGTTTTTGCTGAAAATCTACACTTTCGATATATCTGCAAGTTGTTTATTTTTTTATTTTTTTATTTTATTTTTATAATATATTGTTATACTATTTGCATTTAAATTTTTTGTCAGAATTTTAAGCAAATAAATTGTAATCCAAATGATCTTCTTTATACTGTTGGTAGGTCTTTTGATGAAATCTTTATTCTAATTACTACATTTGGAAACAAACGTGTTAGAAGCATTAACAAATGTCGA